GCTTTGAAAAGGAAAAGGTTTATGGCACCATAAAGACATTAATGGTTCCTTGAGTGTTGGGCGATCCTGTTGGGACCCTACCAGACTTCATATTCCTGATACGTGTATGTATTAATTCTCTGTTCTATACGCTTTGATAAAACGTTCTCATCCACATATACGGGCCTGGTAGCAGAGAGGGGCTACCAAACTGTGTTACAACGATCGGATTCAAGATATGACGCTAGTACCACATCTCTTGAGAGAGAGAGAGAGTAATGTTCGTGAAATGTTCTATCGGCATGAATGTTTACTTAAAATACCACCAAGATATGGTGAAACTGGTGCACTGCAGAATTTAAAGAAATAAATGTCAGCACTATTTTTTATGTGCCTGTTTTTTTATGACGTGATGATGTCACTCGTTCCCTCTACCATCACTCTTATTCACCTGGATGTATTCATACGCAAGTCTTCAAATGAACTTGTTTCCGGTGACGTTTCGTTTTCAATTTCTCTTGAACGTCAATTTAAGTACATGCATGATATTGGATGACAAAAGGAATCTCAAATATATCCCTACTCGTTTTTTTCACTTTTATCTACTCGTAGTGATATATTTGATATCCAAAGACACTTGGGTCAGATTCTATTTGTCATCCAATATGACACCGCCCCAAAATCGGTAAATAGAAATATAGTGCGGGTAAGACCAGGGGCCCGTTTCACAAAGCGATCGTAGTGCTACGACTGTCGTAAGTGTATGTTAAAGTATCGGAGAGATACGATCACCTTAGCGCTACGATCGCTTTGTGAAACGGGGCACAGGATCGTATTTGCCTCCGTACGATAAAGTAGTCTACGATTTTCGATCTGCGAAATTGGGAACCGATGACATGTGTGAAAAATAGAGAAAGACAGTAGGCTAGCTGCTCAAATACAACGTATGTTCTAATTCTAAAACTATAAGCAGACGTGTATTACATTTATCAAACTAACACTCTACCTTTGAAAATAGAAGCCGGTAGATTTACACGCCATGAAATACCTTCAGCTGATAGAATTTGTAAATGTTGTGATGGCAATACAATTGAGGACGACGTTCACTGTTGGTTAGTTGTCCATTATAATCGGATTTACGATATGACTTGTGGGAAAATGTATTAAATATTTACCCATTATTCTCTCTCTTGTCGCCTACTGACCAGGCCGCATTTATGCTAGTTAATGTTACATTAATTAAACCCTTAGCTGTATTGGTTACTGAAATGTTTAATAGACGTAAACGCACTTTGTAGTCCTGTAATTAAATATACCACACTTCAATGTTCTTACAAAGCCGTGATACTTTCTTTACTTATTATGTATAATGTAGTGTCTTGTGTCTCGTCACGGCCACATGGCCGGGTGTTATATCATATTGAGTGTTATAAAGTGTCTATGTATGTTATATAGATAGCATGTGACACACAAATGAAAATATTTTCTTCTTCTGTATTCTTGGAATGCGTTTTACCTGTATACAACACTATGGGGGTATATACTAGTAGTACCTTGTACGTGGGTATATTAGTAGTACAGCAAACACGGGTATAAAGTATAGTTATGCATTGTACATGTACATTTGCTGCAAAAGAATATAATCTTTACAAGTGAGAGGGTAAGGGAGACTAAGACTGCGCTATAGGAATGTAGGCCAATTATATTTGTCATGCAATCCGATCACAGCACGTTGTGCATAGAGGGCTTCTAGTCTGTCCGCATTAGTTGCTTTCTGCACAGCCCTTTCTGCAATGCTTAAGGCATATATGAAGCAAGTCTAGATTCCTCAGGTTTAGGTTCTGTTATCATCTGCAAGAAAACTGACTCACTTCAATGGTCGGGTTACATCTCATCTCACTGGGCTCCTTTTCAGTTTAAACGGGACTAATTGTTTCCATCACAATTATTCATAGGCTAAGCGTTAGTCCAAGAGGGCTTCATTCGGGTGACGCTGATCACTGAACACCCACCAATCCTCTACTCGGACTTCGTGCGAATGTTTCTCAAATTAGTCATGCGGGTGTCTCGCAATCCGAAAAAATAGGGGTCGTCGGTAAAGCAAGGGTAAAAAAAATAAGCGCCAACTGAATTGATATTTATTCAATATCTTTAAGGTCATTAAAATCTTCATCAATGAAAAATATAATAAGCGCGACAATATGCAGCCTTGCTTTACACCACAATGAATATATAATCCATCAGTTTCATGCCCATTCACTGAAACTCTGGACCTATTATCTTCACGCCAGGATTTATCAGCTAAGTAGAAATTACCATGTGCTCTCAATGTTTGCAACTGATACCAGAAACAGTCAGGATGAATTACTTTGATTAAACGTTTTCATTTCGTAATTGTAGCATACAAAGGCAACACGTTTAATTAGCTAGCGGAACATTTAGGTTGTGTATTGTACAACATAGCGGATATTGTGTTCAATAATGCTCCTGTTTTTCAACCAGGCAATTTTGTTAGATATAATTCATGTGAAACAGCGCTCACTGCATGAAACACGTGAACAGATGAGATGTTCCCTTTTTTAAAACAACAACAGTTTGGCGAATTAAGCAGCAAAGGTCAACGAACTCCTACTCTGTGCTAAAACTTTTGTTAACAGGTCGTCGTCATGCGAACACCTTCATTGAGGGAGGGTTCAGTATTTACCGGGGAAAATTAGCGATCTACGTTTGTTTAAGCATACATTGACACGGAGTCTAAGTGTTTGTCTAAACATTCAAATATTGAGTCAATATTTACATCACGAAAAGTCGAATCTATGCACGAGGATCCCGCCAGGTTTCAATTACATAAAACTGCAAATTGCACTCTTTCAATAGGTTCAGGCGCATAGGAGCTTCTCACAGTGCGTGTGTGTGCGTGTGTTTGAAGAATTCCTATCTGTAATTCAGAGGTTAAGGTTGAGGTTGGGGTTGGGGTTGGGGAAACAGTAATCTCTCTATCTGTATCATCATTGGGGTTGGGGTTGATTTAGAATCTCCTGTATCAAGTGACACTGATTTAGAATCTCAACAAGTGACCATTTAAAAGACAAAACTAATACGCATATTATTATATCTACAATATGCATATGTACACTTGTGAAAGCCGGGGTGGCTAAGTGGGTTAGACGGCTGACTTGTATTCTGGTGAATAGGTGCCTGACGCAGAGAGTGTAGGTTCGAATCCCGGATGGGGCTCATACCAACAAAAGTACTAGAATCTGGCATTGTGTATTCACACAAAGGGGCTTGCAACGTTAAAAACTGCCATCAAGGTACATACTGTCACTGACGGGGTCTTAATACTATATAAAAGGAAAGGGATATTACGAGGTCAACACACCAAGTTCGTTTCAGGGCGAATTCAACAATGCTCACTGTATCAGTCCCATTTAAAGTATGCACACATTTCAAGCCAATAGATTTATCTTCAAAATGGGACATACAGCACAAAAGTCGAAGCAGTACTTTGGAAGCTAGGGACCTCGGAAGCTCGAAAAATCGTGATTTCTCGATTCCGAGCCAAAATCCCTGCTCAGAATTTGTTGCGGTAACTCACCCATTTTCTTGTATATTTCACAGTATATACAAACGACATTCTCCAAAACATGCTGAACTGATGGCGCTTGTCAGCTCGCTAGTCGCCATTCTTTCGGAGACACTTACACCTCACTGTCTTAATGAGTTTGCGTACATTTATTCATCGCAAACAGAATTGTGTCGTGCCCGTTCGCAAATGACGACCTTGGCCTTAACCTGCCCCGCACTTAAAAGAGCAAGGGAGCTCATTGGCTAAAAATAAATTAGGTCCCACTCTTTTCAGTGCGGGGCAGGTTAAGGCCAAGGTCAGTGACAGCATATACCTTGATGGCAGTTTTAGCGTTACAAGTCCCTGTGTATTCATACACTTACACCGATTCTACAGTCGGTATCACAACAACATGTATACATGTAGGTGTTTGTTGATGGTAACAGTAATCACTAATTGATAAAGGTCGTTACAATATCACCTATAACGTTCATCTTTCTCACCCTGTAGATGTCGACGCCCAGAATGCATGCAGCGTCCGCCATGACACAGCGTGTGTGGCGGCCATGAGGTCCTTCTACGCCAGCACATCGGCCTTCTGGTTCGGGACGGAGTTCGCGATGAACTGCCCACCGGGCACAGGGGGCGTCTTGTGTACAAATACTAAACCATCCGGCACCTCCCTTCTCACTCGAATGTTGGGAAACACCACAACAGACGCCAGCGGTCTCGCCTTCGTCGTCAACGTCACATACACCATTGCTCTTCCCCGTGAGCAACACCTTCACTATCAATGTCTATAATGTGCTTTCGCCTCTATTTTACGGATTCAAAAAGAAACCAACTCAATTTTTTAATATATTTTAATCACATATTGAAGAAAACGTAAGATTTTATATGAATTGTTCTGTTATAATTTCTTTATACATGTAGTGACACGACGGCAACAGATTTAAATTCACCTCGTGACCTACGATAAAGGGAGGTAACTCCAAAATGGTTTTTAACACACAAAAAACCGTTCAAGTGTACGAGGTAGAGGAAGACAATCTTCTATATGCTAGCAGATACTTATACAAGGCGATACAATTGACACGCAGTCGACGATAATACTCTGCATGACAAAATATTTTCAGATTAACAAGATATTACCCTTCGCAGACATGTATGAGATATATTTTATTTTCAGCTGATGGATCTGACCGTGAGTACACACGTCTACCCTACTCCTTGATATACACATTTATTTCCTCTTAATACCCGATCCCCGCGATTGTTTTCCTCATTAATATACTTCTTTAGAGCACACTATACATTTTTCTTCACTATATTCACTAAATGATAACACAAATTCTAACTTAAGGTTACAATTAGTTAATATGGATATAGATTTGGCGACATCTTGAAATATATTATTTCATCGTTGTTTAAATCGTGTGATATATTTCACTAATGGTGAATTTGAGATAAAAATAAGTCTACTAGATATGTGATAAAGATTTGACAATTGTTATACATTATGCTGAGATAAGCCTTAAGATGATGTTTCATGTTTGATCTTCACCAATACCTACGACTGACAAAGCCATGTGTTATATGTATTTAAATATGTGGCATTCGACCATAAGTACATGCGTGTCTGTGTTAAAAATCAGGTACGTACCCAGGCTGTGGCAGAATAGTCGACGTTCCTCTGACAGGACCACAGACTTTCTCCATCGACACCCTCGACAACACCGCCTATACCTCTTTCGATCTCGCCCAGCAGCCGGAAGTGACGTGGCCAGCAGAGGAGAGCGCACTCTACACTGTTATATGGTATGACGCCGGCCCGTGCTTCATTCATGGGTTGTACGTCAACGTCGTCGGCGGTAGACTGGACAATGGAGACGTGGGTGACGTTTCTTCTATTCAAAATTAGCTGCTTGTTGACCTCATATGCATAATTAATTAATCGGATCATAATACCAATATTTGTATGCATATACTTTACTGAAAATCCCGAGCGAGCTCACCTTGACATGTATTTTGATTTTACACTTAATTATTTCTTTCTGTTTTTGTTTTTTTAATTGGAAATTAGAAATGTGGAAAAGGAAATTCTATTACGGCGTTTTAGATGACGTGTCACTAAGTGTGAGTGCGTTAGTATGCTTTTGCACCACTTTAGCAATATTCCAGCAATATCACGGCGGGGGACACAAAAAATTGCCTCACATTGCACCCATGAGGGGACTCGAACCCGAGTCTTCGGCGTGATGAGAGAACGCTTTATCCACTAGGCTACCTAAGCGTCCCTTCAGTACTAATGACCTCATGCCTTTGATACCGCTCGCTAGCTTCCTTTGACCTCTGTATCCTTGGTTCCAGACAATAGAGTCTTACATCGAGCCTGGAAATCCCGGGCACCCGATCATCCCTTACGTATGGATTGTGTTCAAGCAACAGCGACCACTGGACGCTGCCAACGCCAAGAACATTTATGATACACTGTACTCCCGCGGCCAGTGGAGGGTCTACGTGGAGGATCTTGTGTCGCAGCTGGGTCTGTCGAGTAAGACTTACATATGAGAAGATCTTCTGCTCGTTTGCTTCCTACAATTAAGAATACATGTCAAGAAGCATCCCTATGTCCGGATTTCAATTTATTTGCGACTCGCCCGGTTAACTGAGGACTAAGTTTTTTTCCTGATTTTTGTACTGTGGCAGTGTGGGTAATACACAATACAACTGAGCACATGTTTTGATTTTGCTTTGGAGTTCGATAACCACTTGACTAAGAAGTGCCCTGATAGATTGTTCAATACAGGCATCACACATATGTAGACTTTACTAGTGGTAGGTTTAACTGCATTGGGTCTGTAGGTCACCTGAGACACGTGCAAATCTGAATCGTCAAACATTTTTGTGCATAATATTTTATTTCAGAATTTAAGATTACTTAATTGACTAAACTCACGTAGGGTCAAATATAATTGCAGGTAACTATCATTACCCAAAGTCAGGGATAACCTCAGTGAATTCTTATGACTGTAATATTTATTTGGAGTCCTGGGTCCCGATCACAAAGCGTTCCTAGTACTACGACATTGGTAAGCTTATGATAAACTATAGGGTTACGACAGGTCGTAACGTTACGAACGCTTTGTGGATCGGGACCGTGGACTCCATTGTGCACCAGCTTTGACACAATGATTAACTATAGTGTTACGACAAATCGTAACTTTACGAACGCTTTATGGATCGGAGCCACGTTTCACAAAGCTCTCGTACGCCTAAGATCTCGAAACTTTCCTCGTAATATTCCTACCTCCTATACTGTAACATTGACGTACGGTAGTCGTAGTGCTACTAGAGCTTTGTGAAACGGGGCCCAGGACCGTGGACTCCATTGTGCACAAGCCTTGACTTTTTAAAGGATACATAAAATTATACTCTTTGCTCTTGGTTACAGCTCAGACGTATGGCGTCAACGTGGCTAAGGTCTCTTTGGATGAGTACACCACTGTCCTCTTCCGGGATGTTAACATTTCTAATAGATGCCCAGGCTTTTATGGGCACTGTAAGTGGTTCAAACATTAATTCTTAAATGTACTAAATAATGATCATAATTTCGTGATATACTTAATGGTAAATGTTGTATTGAATTGAATTTTTTAGTTCATTAAAGAATGTTTGTTTTGCTTGTTTGTGGTTTAACACTGTACGCAGCAATATTTCTTCTACGTGACAGCGTTATGTAAATGATCGAGTCTGAACCAGAAAATCCAGTGACTGATATCATGAGCATCATTGTACACAAAACAAGTAATTCAGAATTCGATAACATGCATTGACTAGGTTTAGATAGTGTAGTGCAATTGTAACCTCGATCTTCACGACCGAATTGGAATATTACATGGGACGTTCTGAATATCTAAAGCCCAAAACCCACTATGAGCGACAATTACTGAGATGGATAGAAATTTAAGATTATAGTGAGTGAGTGAGTTTAGTTTTACGTCGCTTTTAGCTATGTTCCAGCAATATCACGGCGGGCGACACCAGAAATGGGCTTCACATATTGTACTCAATTTAAAATCATAATGTACTGATTTTTGCAACGTTGGTAGTTGGGGATTTGACAGTTTAAAACAAGGTGAATTCTACATCATCCGCCTTTTTTAGATCTCTTTAAAGAATTTTATGTTGACGAATATTTTATCATTTAGGGCTGAGCAGCTACATCCAGCAAAGAGGTGGTCTCCCATCACTTCCCGCGCATCTTAATCTCAGTGTATCCGTTGACGTCAGCTTCACGGCCCCCGCTATAACGTACACATCGTGTGGCATAGTGTATGAAGCAAGGTGGGTACTCACCGCCCCCTCTATAACACATGTTGCGGAACAGTGTATTAATAAAGGTGGGTACTCCCATGTCCCCTCTATAACACAGAATGTGGAACAGTGTGTCGCAGTCGTGAAATACGGTTGATGATGTGCCGTCATGATGCATATCGCGTGTACACAATGTACACTTTCCCATATTCAGAGTTCAACAGCACGTGAGCATCTGTCAAAGCATATTGTCGTGGAATGGGTTGTCCAAATTTTAAAACAAATCTTGAATGTCCTTTTATGCCATTTAATATCATACACCTACTTAAACAGTAAAAGGAAATCGATTTTACTAAAGAACTCAGTGTTTCGAAATCAGCATTTTCCAAAATGGGCATTGATATTTGGGGAAAAATACTGGGACCTGATAGACAAAAATATAATATGATTCCAACTAAATGTCTACAAATTTCTGAACAGCAATGGTTTCAAGATCTAAGTCTTCGCCATATCTTACCAACATATTCCTTACTTTTTAAAATGGGATACGCAGACAGCAAGGTATGTGGTTATTGTAATAACCAACGCGAAACAGTTGATCATCTGTTTTGGTATTGCAACAATGTGAGTTCCATCTAGACGCAGTTTGAAAAATGGGTCAACCAGAAAGCCTATTTATCGATTAAACAAGAAAGATATACTTCTTGGCTATCTGCTACCCAATTTTGGACCAATAAATCTTTTAATAATAGTGTACAAACAATTTATTTTTCAAAACTAAAACATATAAAAAAATGTAAACCAATAAATTTTGAAATAATTCAGGAAGAACTCACATTATCATTTTACGAAATACACAGCAAAGATGTACGGACATCTTAACCAGTTTACTAACTTCTGGTCATCTTGTCACCTTTTGTTTATATGGACAATTATATACATGTGCAACTAAGTATAAACGTAACAAACTTAAAGAAATTGTTAAAAATGCATGATGCATATCGCGTGTGAACAATGCACACTTTCCCATATTTTTTAAACATCGGCCTGATGGTTTGAATATTTTCTGTCTCAAGACGAATTTCTGTGTTCCAGCCCTGTTAACATAACAGTAGATTATCGGAGCAGGGATCTGTTAAGCTCCGTGGAGACTCGGACCTCCCCGCAGGTCAGCCTGGTTCCTGTTGAGATCAGAGATCAACCCCCCTCTGTCACCCTTAGAGGTGAGTGAGCACATTATGGGGCAGGGAAGCGGTTTGGGTTTTTTTGTTGTTTTTTTATTTCGCTTTTTTTTCAGGTATACATACAAGTTGACGTATAGTAGTTCCATGCAAACATGCAGGGTTTCAATAAATAATCAATAATACTTTAGTATAATTATACAGTGTCAACATTGTTACATCTACATCGAAATAATTTACCTATTCAACGGTTCTAATAACATCTGTAGGCTGGACCATAGTTTTAGAAAGTAGGCTTTCTGGTCACGATTAATATATACATATTTTGTGGTATTATAATATTGTATGATTTGTCTCTTGATGTATGAAATATTTGGAATGAAACTTTTCTTACTACAGTTGTATATGGTATTCTTGACTAAAATAATTATCGCATTTAGTGCATAGTTATGTTTTCCTTTAATCCCAAACATTACCTGGGTATTTGTGAAACTTAATTCTACGTCTACAGTTCTGAGCCATAATTTTATTTCACGCCATATGTTATTTACCTTGTCACACTCCCAGAAGATATAATAAATTATTTCGTCATAATCGTTGCAAAAGGTACATTTTGGGCTATCCACATAGTTTATTTTGTAGAGGAAATGTCTGACTGGCAATATTCCGTGAATGGTTCTGTACTGCAACCATCTTAATTCGGTACTTGGAGTACATTTATTTGCGATCGAGTTGAAACATTTCCAGTCAAAGTCCGAGTAGTGTGAACCAGTGACGTGTTCCCACTTATCATAACAAGGGAGTTTAACAAACCGTGAATCAGCTAGCATATCGTATACTTTCTGATGTCCAAGGCGATTGTTTGTACATTTCATTATAAACGGATACACAGGATTGCATAATTTACATCCGGATAAAGTAATACCTATTGAATTTGCATAGCATACAACTGCTCGATTAACGCCTCATATTTAAGAAAGTCTGTATCTAGGGTGTATAAGGCACAAAATTCTTCCCTAGAATAATATCTGCCGTTTTCATTCAATAAATCGTTTACGAATATTATACCTTGTTTTTCCCAGCTTCTGTAACAGATAGTCTTATTTCCAACTTTTATGTTATCATTATTCCAAATACTTTGGGAGAGAAGGTGACACTCAGTTTTTACATGTCCTTTGTATCTACTAACAATAGTAGACCAATCTTTAAAGACTTCTATCCAAAAAGGGTTTGAAATGGCAGGAATTACTCTATTTTCAGTATATATTTTATCTGATGTCCACAATAAATTCTTACTGTGTAATCTATGCATTAATAATGACTTCCAATTTGATGGTGTGCTATGTAGTCTCTCTACCGATTTCAATTTTTGCCGAAGATATAACATTTTTAATCATTGGAATTTTAAGTCCCCCATGTTCCGGATTTAGAACAAAAGTATCTCTTTTAACTTTATCTGGCTTGTTTCGCCATATAAATCTAAAACATTGTTTTTGGAAATTGTCTTTAACAGATTCAGGTGGACGGGGAAGAGCAGAAAACAGGTGGTTTAACTTGGGCAGGAGGAGGGATTTTAAAACTGTGATTCTTCCATAAGGTGTAAGATTCCTTGCTAACCAGATGTTCATTAAGTGTTTTATTTGTAGGAACTTTTCTTCATCATTCAGTTGGCTTATGTTATCCATGTCAATATCGAAATTTATTCTTAACAGTTTGAAATCCGTCTGAGACCAGTCAAATTTCCTTACATAGTTTGATACGAGTTCGTTTCTTGGAACCTATCCATAGTAATCTTGTTTTCTCTATATTAACCTTTAGACCAGAAAAGCGTGCGAAAAATTGCAGGGCTTTAAGGACAGCGTATAAACATTGTTCAGATCCATCAAGGGTCATTGACGTATCATCAGCAAACTGTGTCAATAAATACTCTATATTTCCTATGTTTAACCCCTTTGTCCTAGTATTATTTCTACTGAGAATACCTAAGATCTCCACAGAGAGGATAAATAGGTAAGGCGCTACCGGATCGCCTTGGCGACAACCACTTTCAATTTTGAAGGGGGATAAAGGGAATCCATTTACCAAGACTCTTGATTCAATGTCTTTATAGAAGGTAGTAATCCAATTTATGCTGCTTAGGCAGTGTAGCGTTGTCTGAACTTTCCTTGAGATAATAACAACACCAGATATTGTATATTTTTTCACAAACAATGTGACCGAGGAAAATCTATTGATCTAGCAAAGATTCAGTGCATGTATAATTGTGAGGAAAAAGGAAATATACTGAATGTCTTTTAAAACTCCCAACGTAACCGAAGCTGATAAGGCCGAAAACACCGCAACGCCCAAACAACAACTCTTATACCCGTATCAAATACGGCACCATCGAATTTGTATCAAATATGGATGTATAGTTTCTCTTGCTCGGCAGTATGTTTTCATGCCATACATTATGCCATATTATGCCTTCTTCTACAGGAAGCAATGATGTTCAGTTTGACAAGATCTATTTTTTCACCATCAGACGATGCATACCATCTTATAATTAAGAATATATCACTTAGTTTGTAGACGAATGTGCAATATATAAACCGTTTCAGGAGGTTATACAGTAATGTCGAGATGTGTGTTTCTTTTTTTTAAATCTCAGTATATGTGTTTTTGGATATATGTTTCTCTTTCCAGACAAGCAGTATACACTGTTGATGTACGACCCCACCGGTGAGCTGGGACAAACTGACCAGAACGCTTACATCCACTGGATGGTCGTCAACATCCGGGGTACTGACATCACTTCCGGTGACGTGGTGTATAGCTGGCTTATGCCTCTGAGTTCCAGGTTGAATCAACTGTACTTGTTTGCCTTGTTCGAGCAGAGAGCCACCATCAGCACAACAACAGAGGGATCCTTCGGAGGAACAGACTGTCATCCATATTTAGACAGAAGGTACAAAACATCCCTATATACTATATCTCTTACCGACCGCCACAGTGGTCTAGTGCAGAGAGCTACTGCCCAGAGAGCAGAATGGTCGGTAGTTCATTCATAATCAAAAACGTTAAAAGATGGCACTTTTTGTTACCATGTCTGGAACTCAACACAGACAGCATAAAACAACATTAATCAATTAATCCGGATCGGGGTAACACCAAACCTCCGACCTTATCAAGGACTAAAAAGCAGCTGCTGTACTTACGCATGTACGCATGCACGCGCGTGTCTTACTACAATTAAGCTGCGCCCACCCAACCTCAGTGGATATTAGGGATATACACGGATGACATGTTTCATTGATAGGGGACTGAAATTATGCATTATTTCTGCTTGACCCTACTCATCCCCCCAAATAGATATCCTACCCTTGTATATTGGTGTATATAACGCACATATAACCTTTTTATTTGAGAAAAATAAGAAATAATGACCGTGAACGTTCATATAAATATTTTTGTGCTACGTATTACGCCCCTTGTTTATGCTTTTTTTACATCGACACTCGGAAACCTCTGTAAATCTTACAATTTATATACTGAAAAGCACTTTTGTCTCAAGTTTCACCTCAAAAGGATCGTTCACTATTCCGGAAGATGAAATACAAACTTTATGTATTGATGTATACGTTCCTAAGTTCACTCCAATTTAATGGCTACCTTCAACAATTTAATGGCTTGTGTTTGCTACAGATGCAAGTTCAGAGCTGGAGACTTCATCCGCTACAACAATCTCTCCCTCGTCGGCATGAGATACTTAAGGGTGATCCCCGACACCTACCGCCAGTACGTGGCCTACGTCGTGGCCCAGTTCGAGAGTATGGACCAAGTCTGTTGGGGACAGGAAAGGGAACGTCCACCATGTCCTACGAATTCCGGAAGCAGCGAGACAAATATCGGCATCATAATGTCACTTCTTACAGTATTGGCAACTCGCTTGACCTTCATCAACTAGCTAGTAAATATAACCAACAAAAAACCCCGACTAAATTACTTATTATCATATTGTATGTAACTGAATACTTTAATATAATGGAAATCAATTTAAATATATTGCGTGTTTGATTAATCAATACAAATACACTTCCACAAGCCATGTGCACCCATTCAGTGGATTATTTTATACTATATATTATACCCTTTGCAATATAGGATCGAAGGTTTTTATGTCGCTGGAGATAATCCTATATTGCACTTGTAACTGAATTTACCGATTAAATCATTTTTACGAAGTAATTATACCCAGGTTTTTGTGAATATGAGTTATATCGTTATATTGAAAGCAAACATGAACATCCCAGGACATTGGATCTACCCATGACACATATTATTACACAAAGAAGTAGAAACTGGGTTGATGTCTCATTTTGGGAAGGATAAAATCCCAACCAGACAAAATCCCATAGGACGTCTTTGGACAAAGTCCCACACCAAAATGACCAACATAGGACGAAATCCCATTTTTATGTTATTACTACCCTTTTTCACCAAGAAACCATTGAGTTAATCTGTTTTCAAGACAGAGGCCAGTGAGATAAGTCGATTAGCATGTTTTCGTAACAGAGGTCAGTGGCTGCAGTGATATATTGTATAAATGTGTCTGCGATGATGACAGGTTTTATCAGTGTTCCAAAATGGAAGTACTGAAGAGCAATAAAGGAGGAGTAAAATGGAATTATATGGGTTTTTGTACACTAAGAAGGTTACAAATAACAGTAGTATTAGGTGGGAAAATCAAGAAAGAATGCATTAGAATGCCGTGGGTCCATGAGGGCATCCCCAGATAGCATTCAGACGTTGGCCCAACGTTGGCAATGGTTTTGCCAACATTGCCAACGTTGGGCCAACGTCCGAATGCTATCTGGGTCGTTGACAAAGGAGAATCCGGTTCTTGTTACATCTCATAGTCACCCAGCAGAGGAGTCACATGTAGAAATCATAACATTCAGAATCCAGCGACCTATGAGCCCTGGTGAAATATGACAACAGCCCATCCGATTGCAACGTGTACCCCCAGTCTTCAAACAGTCTGGAATGTCCACGATGTGACCGTGAACAAACAGCAGTGAACCAACAATTCTTCTGAAGTTTGGAATTCCAGTTTCAAGCATTTATTCAGCCATGATCTATTCATGAGGAAAAAATATCTATTTCAAATAAATTGTATGTCATATTTCGTACTGTTGAGATTTTGAGGGCAGTATGCAGACATTTTGTCAGGTTGGGATTTTGTTCGGGTGGGTTTTTGTTCAACCCTCTTTAAGAAATGTTGTTTGCGTGAAGAACATCTAATCACAGGACTATTACCCATGCACCCATTAATGTATATTTCTTGTCAGCTTTTAAAAAATACTGTCTTATAATCCTAATGATTTCATTATTATTTTTTTATGCATTTTGTAACTTTATAAAAAGTACACGATCTGGTTTTAGTAAATTTATAACATGACAATAATAGACATTTTATAGATTGCTAACGTGAATCATAGTTCACACACACGTCCTTAGTGCGACCTTGTGTGTGTTTGTTTCATCGGCAAAATCACGGGTAATTAAATGAAATGATTCTGCTGAATGCTACAATAAATGAATAAAATACAAATACAACGGCCTAATAATAATTTTAATAACCGACTGAAGTTATAGAAATAATATTAGGCCGTTGCCTTGTTCGAGGAATGTATGTATCAATATCCACATATAGGGGCGATATGCCATTCATCTGCAGCTGACAAAGAAACTTTTAACTGTCTGATGATGATGATGATGATGATGATCATGATGATGATCATGACGATTTGGAGATTTAACGTGTCTTTAACTGCCTGATGTGCCAAAAAATGTGTATAACGTTATAACTAGTAATAGGTTCTCAACTGGTCGCGTGACTGTTTCAGGTTTTTTCACATTGGTACATAGCTATAATAATTGGTCACCCAAGATAGCACACCTGACAACTTTTTGCATGATGTCCACCATTCTTTGAAAAAGTAATTTAGTTAGGCAACAATGAGCAATCAATCAACGTATTGGCGGTTAATCCTTAGATGGAAGGACGTTGTTTTCACACAGGCACTTTACGACAGAGTGTAGTCTATTCAGTGTACGTTTTGGGCGGTGAGGTAGCCTAGTTCGCTCGTCATGACAAAGACCCGTGTTCGATACCCCACATGGGTACAATGTGTAAAGCCCATTTCTGGCGTCCCCCGCCGTGATATTGCTAAAAGATTGCTAAAAGCGGCGTAAAACCATACTCACTCACTCACTCAATGTACGTTAGTAAATCTACATACAAAACACTACCTTTTGACAAATCCACTGTGCAATATAAAAGTAATTAATCAATCAGCGTGCTATCGGTTAATCCTTTGTCCGATGTTTATTTTTTTAAATCAGTTGATATTTTCCCTCTTGCTGCACTTCCATGCGCATATTACATAACGTGCAATGTATTTACCACACCAGACCTTAGTCTATAATGTTGAGTATTTACTTCAGACACGAGAAATGCTACATGGGAACCTTTGTCTGGTAGTGTTACCACTACACCTGTCATGAATTCATTAACTGGCCATCAAGTAAATGATGACAAATAAACAGGTGTAGGATTACATTTGGATAGCCTAAGAAACTTAGTGGTCGACGCTGTTTTGAGGATACCAACGGAACTTCGTTGTTGCATAAGAAATACATATACGCATTCAGTAGGGTAGGACCAACACCCACCCACCCACCCCACCACACACACACACACACACACACACACACACACACATACGGAGGGTAGGACAAAATCCCATAGGACAAAATGTCTGCACACTGCGGACAAAATCCCAACAGTGTGAAAAATGACATACAATTATTTTGAAATAGATGTTTTTATTTTTCCTCATGAATGAGCAGTGTTGATCATAAGCACCAATAACATGATTCAACGCAATCTCATAACATAATGCATCATCCTTGTATATTTTCATGAGACATGTAATCGTCTAAAGCATCATTCTAGAACATCATCATCTTTGTACATCTTAATTGATGTATTGATGAATTGACTGGGTGACAATGAGATGTAACAAGAACCGGATTCTCCATTGTCAACGATGTCTTCATGGACCCACGACATTCTAATGCATTTTTCTTGAACATTCCCACCTAATACTACTCTTATAAGGAACTTCTTAGTGTAAAAAAATCCATCTAATGCTGTTTTAACTCCTCCCTTATTGCTCTTCAGTAATTCCAGTTTGGAACACTGATAAAAACTGTCATCATCACAGACACATTTATACAATTTATCAATGTTACGAAAACATACTAATCGACTTACCTCATTGTCTTTTGTCATGAAAACATGCTAATTAAAAATGGCGAAAGAAGGTAGCAATAATATATAAAAATGGGATTTTGTCCTATGTTGGTCATTTTGGTGTGAGATTTTGTCCAAAGGAATTTTGTCCGGGTGGGATTTTGTCCGTCCCCCATACACATTTGCTGTGGACTAAACTAAAACTGTATATACCTATTTACCTAAGTAAATGTTCAGATTTTTCAAGCAACAGCAAAGTGGGGTCGATTTAGTGTTGCCAATGTCATAGGTCAATAGGCATCACAATGTTATATGACATGATTATATATCGAGGTAAAAACACAGAAATACGATCAGTTATCACACCGTCCACGCAACAGAAAATCCCAAAAAGTCTACACTGCTGGGATGTTTTACTACAATCAGACAGGAAGTACCGGGGATATTTTCAAATACGGCATCTGATGGGCATCCGACGTTCTTATTGCCCCATTGTTCAGGTTGAAGTAATTCTGACAAGATGGACAGTTGCCCGGTCCCTATGTCCTTGGTTATATCCCAAAACGTCCACATCACAAAACTTCCACATCCCAATACTACCACACATTGTTGAAACAACAGCTCCTCATCACCCCGTTTTAGGTAATAGGTTAGCCCAGGAAGTGCACTGAACTGAAACAACAGATAATGATACATCACCTGACTTAGAGTAGGGGTTTTAGTAGAGAAGAGAGCAGCTAGTTAATAAATCTGAAATATATATAATATAAATTCGTGCATATTTCATGAAGGCAAAAAATGTAAATTTTGTTTTCTTTATTTACCTTGGAATGTTGTTGATTACGTTCATAGTATTCTGAATATACCAAACATAAAGTATGCGAGCTCGACGTATATTTAATGTACATGTATATTAAAATATGTAGTTTTACAAAATACCATGGCTAATGAGTTTTGAAATTATATATTTTGTGCTTAAAAGAGACCAACAAGCCAAATAATTCCTTTCAATTCTGATTTGCAACTATAAAGTAATATGTAGCAAAAAAATCAAACTGAGAATGTGAATTGCATTATGCTTACTTGAAGCTCTACTGCCAAACATACTTGCTCTACCAAATCCAGACATAAACACATAAATCAATTTTAATTAACTAAGGAAATTGATAATGTTATGGTATGGACATTGGCATTAATTGTTATGGTAGTGACACAATAACTGTAGTGACATTTGTAATAATAGCCAGTTTTATGTTTACTTTAAAAGATAATTTAATGAAATTTGTCAGTCAGATATTTCAGAATGTTTAAAGAATATTTAATAGGCAAAAGACTGCATGTTACGGCAGTGACACTGTAGCAGTATATAATGTCACGACCGTAACGGCCCTGTCACAGACGTGTTCTTCTACGCCAGACTGTCAAATGTGAAATCTTGGACACTATAGGACGTAAGTTCTATATAAATGTTCTACATAGACTGTTATATGTAACTGGAAAAGATAGTATTTTTGTTAATAACCCTGCCTTAATAAAATATATAATTTATCACTAAGGGATTGTTTGCATTCAGTACTGATTAATGGGTTAAACCATTACAGACTGAGGTAAACAGTATGCTGAAGTGTGCGCAGTCAACCAGCAATGTTGTTGTTATAAGCTGTGGAAGTTTTGGGATTTTGGAAGTTTTTGGAGGATACCCGTTTTCACAATTACGTTCGTTCCAAAGAATCTGTTACTGGGTTTCTTTTGGGTCAGTTAGACCCAATTCCAAGTAGTATAACTACCTAATATATAAATAGAACAACTTAAGATCACGCATCCAGTCATTCCAGCAGACATCGTGATTTGGATGTCTCACGTTTGTTCTATAAATAGCTTGGCTAATATTGACCTGTTTCAGAGATCCCAACAAGATCACTGCACGTCACGTGACTAT